TACCTTTGCTCACCTCTGGACCCTCTCTAACTTCTCCATGTCCTTTTTAAAATGTGGAACCCAAAACTGCACACCGTGCTCTAGATGAGGCCTAACCAGTGCCTAGTAAAGGTACTATCACCTCTCATGTCTTATACCTAATGCTTCTGCTGATGCAGCCCAAAACTGCATTAGTCCTTTGTACAGCTTCATCACCCTGAAGACTTGTATTGAGTCTGTGATCTACCAAGAACTCCCAAATACTTTTCATAGATTCATAGATTATAGAGTTGGAAGGGACCCAATGGATCATCGTGTCCAACCCCCTGCCAGGAAAGAGAACTGAGGTCATAAGACCCCAGCCAGGTGATTGTCAAGCCTCTTCTTGAAGACCTCCAAGTTAGGTGATAGGACCACCTCTCTTGGAAGCCCCTTCCAGACTTTGGCCACCTTTATTGTAAAAAATTTCTTCCACAGTGCTGCCATCCAGCCAAGTGTCACCCATTTGTATTTGTGTTTCTGATTCTTCCTGAGGTGCAGCATCTTCCATTCATCCTCATTTTAAATTCATCCTGTTAGTTGTAGCCCAACTTTCCAATCTTTTGAGATCCTTTTGAATTATGCTCTCAGCCTCCAACACATTTTCAGTCCTCAGTTTTGTGTCATCTGCAAACTTGCTCGAGAAGTTTTCTGTGCTGGCATCTAAATCATTAATACGTTGAATAGCACCAGGCCGAGGACAGACTCCTGTGGGACTACATGAAACCTCCTGCTATTCTGACATGGACTCTCTAATAATTACCCTTTGCTTGCAGTTGTTGAGCCAGTTGTTTCTCTAGCTTATGGTAGTTTTGTCCAGCCCATATTTCTCCAGTTTGTTTACCAGAAGGTCACGTGGGACCTGTCAAAAGCCTTGCTGAAGTCGAGATGCATGCTATCCACAGCATTCCCTTAATCCACACAAGTAGTTACTTTGTCAAAGAAGATCAGGTTTGTTTGACACAATCTGTTTTTCATAAATCCATGCTGGCTGCTTGTGATCAGCATTTCTTCCTCCAGATGTTTGCAAATGATCTCCCTTAGGCTATGCTCCAGTGATTTCCCAGGTATTGAGGTGAGGTTAAACTGGCCTGTAGTTCCCCCAGTCCTCCTTTTTTAAAGAGGGGCACTACGTTGGCCCTTTTCCAGTGCTGTGGTACCTGGCCCATCTTCCACAACTTCATGAAGATCATTTTCAAGGGCTCCAAGATCTCCTCTGCCAGTTCCTTCAGTACCTTGGGATGAAGTTCAGCTGACCCTGCTGACTTGAATTCATTCAGACCTATCAGAAGCTCTCTGACTGTCTCTCTTGTCATCTGCTCCCTCAGTTTGCCCCCTTCCTTATCTAGATAATCCTTATTTAGGTGTCTTGCTACATCGTATTTTTTTTGTAAAGACTGAGGCATGAATAATGTCAGCCCGCAAAAAGGTGTAGGGAGCAGTAACTGCTGTTGTCCTCTGTTGCATGACAAGTTCCATTTTATTGAGGACCAGGGGTTGCCAGAGAGCAGCAGGACTGCAAGGGCAGATTACTCAATTAGATAGTATCTGTTAAAAGGCTGGGTAGGATCTTTCACACCCCTTCCTGTCAAAGCAGATTCTACCCAGTGCTATGGCTTGATTCTGTTTCCACTGATTTCAAGAGAGTTAAACTGAAAGCCCTGTTGACTATGTTTAAAAAAGTCAAACACCGTCATACTTTTGGAACAGCAAAATTTGCACCATAAATAAGAAAAATAATGTATTCTATTTTTTATGCTTTGTGGTCTTTTTGAAATACCAAATGATTTGTCAGAAACAAGTTCCATGGGAAATTAAAGAATTAGGTAGGCTGCTGAAATAGCCATGCAATCTCTCTAGATTATAAAGGAGTCTTAGTCAATATAGACATCTGTTTCTTCTTTTCTCTCATAGCAACACGTTTTAATCTTGAGACCGAGTGGAAGAACAACTACCCACGGCTGCGAGAGCTTGACCGGGTAAATTACATTACATTTGTACTTGATATGTTATATAAAACTCTTGACTGCCTTAGACTGCAGATGTCTTCATTGGCTTTCACACTTTTTCTTTTCTGCAGAATGAACTGTTTGAAAAAGCAAAGAATGAAATCCTTGATGAGGTTATTAGTTTGACCCAAGTCACACCAAAGCACTGGTACAGTAGCTATCTGGTTTACATTTAAACTGTTTGCCTCTTTTCCAAAAACAGAAGAGTGCTTTTTCTATATTTCAGAAATGTTATTCAGTTTTAAAATAACTGTCACAAGTTTACAGGATAGTTACCCCTCTTATGTCTTTTGCCTATCTGGAATGTACTTTTTCCCCTAAATATATTCCTTATTCACTAAACTTGTGTGTAGTTCCTGGCCAATAGAGGTTTAAGCATAATTTGTTCTTTTGTCTAATTGATATAAGACACAGTCGAGACAGCTCCAAGAGTGAAAATAAACAATGAAGTCATCTTTATATCTCCTGTGAACTTCATGTGGGTCTCGATTAGGATCTGGGCCAGTGTGTCCAGAATTCCATCAAGAGATAACTATTGCCTTAAAAGAAAAAACTGGGCACATGAATGTGTTTTGGAGTATGTGTTTAATGCAGCATATTCTTCTGAGTTTGTATTGTAGGCTCAGATTTCCAAGTTTAATGCAGTCCTTAGTATTTCCATGCTTATCTCTTTCAGTTTAGCAGTGGATCTTGAGTACCCCGACCCATCACTTTTTTTCATTTCATCCAGTGGATTATGTCTGTATGATACTGATATTGATGTATTTGTAATCCGTCACAAGTTAGTGTCTCTACCATGTTTTAATTTTAAAATGTAGGGCATTGTAATAGAACTTGAAACCTAGTTTAAATTCCCATTGCTACTAGTTAAAGTTAATTTGATTAAATGAAGATTTAAAAAAAAAACCTAAATGACAAATAATTGCTTGAGACTGCACTTCCTGATGGTCAAAAGATAGTGTACCTGTACCTTATAGTGCTTTTTTTAAGAAGCAAAGCTAATGGTTTCCAACACCCATTAAGTGAAAGTATCTTAGTACATCATCCTTCACTGCAGTGATGTTCTTATCTAAATAATTTTCTTAAGCAGTGAAGAAATGCTTAGGTACTGAACAAAGGGCTTTAAAGAAACCATCATTTTTTGCCAGCAGCAACAGTTATTTTCATTTGTCAGTGATAAATGTTCCACAGTTCTTCCTTGTGTGTAAAATCTTTCAGTTGCTTTTTGAGTTCATATAAATAGCTTTACCAGCCTTGAAAGCCTATGTAAGCCCAAAGTTCTGCCTTTAACAAATTGAAGCCTTCAGACCCATCTGTACTGATCTTGTAGGCAGCCACAGTAAGAGGAAAATAGGAATAGTTATCAAAAGTAAAGCAAACTTCTTTTGAGTTGGAAGGAAGTGAAATGATATTTCTGAGAAGTTCCCCAGGGATCTTGTTCTGCATTGATGTAGTTAGCATGGCAGGATAAGCAAGTCATGAGACCTCCATGTCCTGTATGTTACAACTCTGGTCCCTCTAGCCCAAAAAATATTAAAACTTCCAAAATATATTTCAAACCATAAAAATAAAAAAATGCTTTAGGTTAAATCAGGACAAATAAGGCCTCTGTTCTGTGTACTCTGCATTCTAACTCTGCATAATGCACCGTAGATGGGGAAAATTATTCTTACTTGCTGTGTGTCTTCATTCAACCAATGTAACTAATGACCCTTGGCACGCATTCATGGTGAGATGGTCTCACAGGTGGAAACCTTAGAAAGGTCCATCATTCATCGAGCCCATTGAAGTAGCAGTGAGAATTGCAGACAACTGTTTTTATTCACTCAGTGGAGTGGGCGGAAGAAATGTCAAAGATTTGTGTTCATGACATCTTTTGGAGAGAGTTGCTTGTACTCATTAGAAATAATGAAAGCATGAAATGCTACACGTCGGCCTGCTAGAGCAGTTTAAGCTAGACTTACTGCTTGGATCAGAGCTCTGCACTGGAAGCTGTCACAAATGTTACAACTTTCCATTTTAGGGAAGAGATTCTTCAGAAAACATTGTGGGAAAGGGTATCTACTCATGTGATTGAGAACATCTACCTTCCAGCAGCCCAGACTGTGAATTCAGGAACATTTAACACCACTGTAGACATCAAGCTAAAGCAATGGACTGACAAGCAGCTGCCTAATAAAGCAGTAGAGGTTAGAACTTAATTTTTTGATGAATTTTAGTTGTATAAATGAAGATCTGCACAGTTACAGGTTTGTATTTTCCTGTTAGCCATGGTTTTCTATACTGAGTTTGTTAAAATGCAAGTTATAAGTTAACTCGGTGGCTCCCAACCTTTCTTTTACTGTGGCCCGATGGGAGCGAAACGGAGGAAAGCTCAACAAATTACTTTAATATCCTTCATATCTTCATGTGTAAGTATTAATGTTTACATGCATGACAATTCTGTCAGTCAAATCACTTGTCACTGACTTTCTAGGTGGCATGGGCAACCCTGCAGGAAGAATTTTCTCGATTCATGACAGAACAGAAAGGAAAAGAGCATGACGATATCTTTGATAAATTGAAACAAGCTGTCAAAGAAGAAAGTATTAAACGGCACAAGTGGAATGAGAGAGCAGAAGATAGCTTGGTATGGGGTAGTATTTGTTCCTGTAGCTGACGGATCATTTGCTCTTGAATTCTTTTCATTTAAGATTCATGTTCACTTTGTTTGCATTTTTTTAAATCCTTCATATGTTGAAAAGTGTAATACACACCTGAGTTTTACACAGTGCATGTGCAACCGCCTTGGAATATTGCAGTATGAATCAGTGGTTCTCTCTCTTGTTCTGTTTACCTTCCATAGATCAGCTATCCTGCCAAAATTCTTGCTTAGTTTAGAGAAAGAACGCCCCAAAAACTTTTGATTCATTGATTGCAAATGGAGTTTGAGTATCACATATACAAAGCATTGTGTCATTGCATATGCTGGGATGATTTAAGCAGACAAGGATTACCTGAAGGAAATTGGTGGAAGGGGTCAGACATATTTCAGCGGTGTGCAGAATGTTGCTTTTAAAGCTGTGCGCCACACTGACTAAATGCCAGAGATTTAATGAATTATTTTTTTATAGCCACATTCCAGGTTTGATCTCTTTTAAGTTCCAAATAAATCACACACCGTAGGCCACATAGGATGCATGTGGGTAAGGCAGACAGCTCTTTAGTGCAGATGGCACTAGCCATTTGCCTGTTCCTGTTGATTTCAAAATGAAAGGTACTGCTTAAAGCGATGCAGTATGGGGCTCATGCGGACTGCCAGTGTGGTTTGGCCTGCTATAATGATTAAACCATGCCTTCCTTCACCAGTGGGTGTTAAACATGATAGTAGATAGATTGCCCAGGCCTCTAAAGGCAGGAAGCTATAACGGAAGATGGGTGGAGCAATAAATAAGGCTGGATAGGCCCTGCACAAATATTCTTCCCCTTAGCATCTGCTCTGGGCCACTGTAAAAGGTAGGATGCTGGGCTAGATGGACCTGTGGGCTGACCCAGTCTGGCATCATGTTCCACAAACACAAAAACCTAAAAAGGATTTCAAAAGCCCCCAGCAAGTCATTACTCTGATCTGTGTCCTCATGTCACACTGCTTTGTTAATCTGTTGGGCTCCGTCCAGTTTCCCTCTTGCAAATTTGCTGACAGTTTGCATCCAGTCAGTGTGGATCTGCTGGTGGCAGCTCTCCAGAAGAAAGTGCATCTTCCACATGGCCCTCCTGGTTTAGGCTGATTTAAGACTAATTTGTAGGATAATTGCCTTCTTTCTCTGTTTTTCTCACCTCATTACTTTGTTACATCAGCCTCTGCTTAGCCATGTGTTCCTCCTTATAGCTCCTTTTTCTTGTTACTCAGATCTCCCCTTTTAGCAGAAATGACAGGGTCTAGTTAGTTTTAGAGCTGTTAGTAACAGAACACTGAGCTGAGACTGCATTTAATACTGTATATAGAAAGATGAACTGTTTGTGTCTTGTATTGTCAGAGAGTGATCCAGCACAACGCTTTAGAAGATCGGTCGATATCTGATAAACAGCAGTGGGATGCAGCTATTTATTTCATGGAGGAGACTCTCCAGAGTCGTCTCAAAGACAGTGAGTGCTCGCACTTTGACAGCAGTTGCTGTGCAGTAATATATATGTATGTAATCACAACTATGTTTCACGTGTAGTGCATTGTATGTTCTTTACCAGCGTTTGTTAGACTAGGACACTTATTTAAAATTAATGGGACGTGCATCTGAACCCTCTCCACCCCAACTGCTCTGGAAGTCCCATTCTGCTTAAAAACTAACTGAAAACTTAAAAAAAAATTTAAAGCTTTAAATTTCTTAAAAATGGGAATAAATGGTCCACTTTGAATCAGACACAAGGTTCTGGTTAACAAGACATCCTTCCTGGTAGAGTACATGTTGGCTGATCCCTTTAACCTTGTTTCTTTTTTTAGCTGAATCTGTTATTGAAGATATGGTGGGTCCAGACTGGAAAAAGAGGTGGCTGTACTGGATAACCCGTTCCAAAGAGCAGGTGAAAGCAAATTCAGATAATGTCTGCTTCCCATGTGTATGCTTTTGTGGTAAACTTTGTGGTGATTAATAGCTAAGTGGTCTAAAATGTGGAACTGTCACTATTGGTACTGCAAATCCAAAACAGGAAATTGTACATCCAGGAAATTGAAATATCCTGCTGTTTACCTCCAAGCTTTTTAAATGTTAGTCTGAAGAGCTTACTATCTGAAATTATGTACTTTGTCTGCCAAACAGAATCTGCAAACTGGTTATCTTCCTGATAAGGAATTTCATCTCTTTACTGCTCAGCCATGAAATATTTGTTGTAATCAATTAAGTTCTTCTTGGAGGAGATAAATTAACTAGTGTTTAAGCAGAGTGGAAACTCATTTGTCTTTCTCATAGTGTCTCATGATGTCCTGAAAGGTAGGGGAATTGTATAGTATATCATCATGCTTTAATGGTGTCATCACTGTTAAATTATAAAGTACACCTAGCATGCTAAAGGCAATTAGAATTGTTGCCTAAGCAGTCCCCTCTCACTTGCTCTTAAGTTTTGAAAAAATCCACTATATGTATTTAAACTGTCTTTGACCAGTCTGTGCCCAAAGGGAGATTTATTTTTAGACTGTCATGCTACAGAGGTATAACTAAATTCATTTCTCAGAATTGATTATAATCTGAAAAAGAAAGCCTGATCAAAAAATGAGTTTTAATGATTTTATAGCTCAGAGGAAAGGAATCCAAAGTTCATTGTGTACTACAGAGGTGGAGGTGGAATACTTCAAAAACTGTCCTATCTCATTGGGTGCTGGATGAGTTGCTGAAGCTAACGTGGTCCCTCTTTGAGCAAGAGAGCAGTCATGGCTCAGGATTCTGGACTCTGTGAAACTGAGACTGCAAGAAGGGCCAGACTATAATGTAGTTAAACTAGGAGACTGATTCATGAAACGGACCAGAGTTAAGTTAGAGAAATCTGTGGAGATTTCCTGACCTGGGGATAAAGTACCTTGATCTGTTTTTTCCAGTGCTCCCTTTGTTTCTCTAACATTCAAGGTCAAAGCTGACTCCACAATCCCTGAGTTTAAGAAGAGAGTCAACATTGAATAAGAGCAGACATTGTACCAGCAGTGTCTTCTTCAGAGGAGATATGAGACTCTGAAGTCACAATGTACCTCAGACCTGATGAGTTTAGACAGTGTGAGCACCAGAGAAGATATGAAGATTTGTAATGAAACAGTTTCACCCACAGCATCTAGGGTTTGACAAACAGTTGAAAAGTCAATGGCAGGGCTCCCAGGCAATCAATCTTGGACCCACTCTGTTTTCAAGGTCCGTGGCTGCAGGGCAGCACACCATGCCAGGGCTTCTATGCTCCTTGCTTTGAAGTCAGGAGTCAAGCCAGAGACTCCTGAGGCTTTCCATCTCCCAGCCATGGACCTGGGAGTCCTGACTGTCTTGAAAGCCTAGAAAACCCTGCTGTGGCCAGTACGCTTAGGTCTGAGCTTTTGAGCATGCAGGAGGGAGCCTCAAGCTCACTGAGGCCCGAGTTGAGATTCTGGTGGCTTTTGGAACTTGCCGACACAGAGTTAAATTGTTAAGCCCTGGGAATCCTGCTCCTGGCTGCGTGAAACGTAACAAAATGTTGATTTTACTGAGCACCTGCAAGAATTACCCAGTCTGGCTACAGAATGCAGCTTTGCCAGGCTAGTGCTGTCAGGGATTCCTGTCATGCCATGCCATGCTACGCCATGCCCTCAAGCTACCTGCTGCAGTCATGAGTCCCAGGAAATACAGCTCTAAGTATGGCTCAGCTCCAAGCTTTGCAGCAGCAAGCCTGGAGGGCCTCCACTCTGGGGCTATCTGGTCTCCCTGCTGGGAGCTGGACTGCAGAGCCTGTTGCAGACCTTCCAGGCACCCAGTCTCCCTGTGCTGCCTGACATGTTAGTTGGTAGACCAAAGAGCCAGCTGGCTTGAGAGTTCCCAGCACAAGGAAGTCCCACTGACTGCTGCTCTTAACAAGAATGTCAATTCTACTGGGCAGCTTCCAGATGCTGGAAGTACATTTCATTTCAGAAACTCAGTCTGTTGGGGTTTCTGTTTCACTTCCAATTCATAGTTCACAGGAGCTTAAAGAAGAAGTTTTCTCATGGTCTAGACTAGACCTAAATTTAAACAAATGGAAACTTCAGGTGAACTAGAGTTCTGCATTTTGGTCTGGTCTACTGAACAGAAAAAAAAGGTTGATGAAACTTTTGACTTAGGTGGTGGCTATGTGATTGTCTGTTTCGAATTTTAAATGCAGGCCTTAATTAAAATTATTATGTGCAAATAGTTCACACTTGTTACACTTTCATCCTTATCAAGTATAAGAGAGTTGTTAGTCCTATCTGGTCTAGCAGCAAAGGTCCAGCATGTTGTATAAGTTGACATCAACATGGAGTCACAAAGTTTATGCCAAGAGGTTGCCAATTGTAAGAAATGCAGGGATTGGGTCTGCGCTTTAATTGAACCTCTCTCATTTTAGCATGTTCGTAATGAAACAAAAAATGAACTTGAGAAGTTGATCAAATGTAATGATGACCATGCTGCTTACCTGGCAAATGATGAGGTAACAACTGTCCGGAAGAATCTTGAAGCAAGAGGAGTAACAGTGGACCCCTGTCTGGTAAGATGTAATGTTGTAACAGAACATATGGAAGCTCTTTGTGTACATTTGTAGGCCCTATTTAGCTACCATAAAAAGGATTGTATCTAAACATCAAGTTTGTAATCCAGATGTCTTAAAAAAATTACTAAATGAGTGCTTGCACGCAATGCACACATTTCTTGTAAGGCCCTTTCTGCTGGCTGTCAGACAACAGCTCTGCAGCCCTTTGGAACTTGACAGCTTGGAGTGAGCTCCGAATCTGCTGACCAAATATTCTTTTCCACCTTATAGAGGCCTGTATTGTGGACTGTCCATGCATACATTATGTAATGGATTCATGTGCCACAGGACAGGAACCGTTAAATATATTTAGTGTTATTTTGGAAGGATATGTGATTTGTCCAATGTTGTGTCCACTTGATCACTGGTACTTGATAACGCAAAGTACTTATCGCATACGAGTTTGTAGTATTGAACGTGAACAATCCTGATCAAAAGGACTTCTAAATATATAGTTTTTAATAAATCCACTCAATAAAAGATCCATTAAAATAGTTGAGTATACCTTTTTCTGGATAAACATTAAGTTAACTAAAGTGTGCTCTACAAAAGCCTTGATTCTGTGCCATAAATGGACAGCCTGTGCACTATATAACCTGTAACTTGACATTTTAACTCAGATGAACCGTGTGCTGTTTCAAAATGCGTACAAGGTTCGTCAGCCTTCTGAGAGGGTGTTGAAAACCCTGAGATGTAGAATGTAAATGCTGTGACCATTTCATTTTTAGGGTTTGTGTTAAATTTAGTTTAAAACTTGGTTTATGCTATAACTTCCATTAATTTTCCAGTTGATAACCAGTCCTTGATTAACTGTTAAATTTTATCCAGCCTGAAAAAACGCAATTTATTCTAAACTCTTTATTCTTGGTTTTTGAGACGAGATGTGATTGTTAAAGTGTAACACTGCTAGTAAACTGATATATATTTCATCCAGTTTGAACGCTGTCATTGTAGATTAAAGACACATGGCACCAAATCTATAGAAGACATTTCCTGAGGACTGCTTTGAGCCATTGTAATCTGTGTCGAAGAGGCTTTTATTACTACCAAAGGCATTTTGTTGACTCCGAGGTAAACTAAGGAACACACAAATACTAGTGTCTTGGGAAGCTGAGCAACCTAAATGGCTATGGAAGTATAGCTAGCAAGAAATATACTATTTTGCAATTAGTTTAGTCCTTTATTTATGCACGTTAATATTAGTATGGTCTTTCTGAGTCTGGCTAGCTACTACGTCGGCCGAGTCGGTAGCATTGAGTCGCGCAGTAATTCCAGAACCTGTCCACAAGATGTCAGTCATTAACTAAGTGGCTGTTACAGGAATTGCCAAACTTCTGAACCTTCTGGCTGTAAACCCAAATCCTGCCACAGCCAGGATATGCAATTTTTGAGATGTGCATGTCCCGATTTGTGCACAAAGCCTGAGCTCAAATCTCTTGTTGTTAAATGGCTGCATAGAATAAATAATGAGTGAACTGAAAAAATAGAAAGTAATAAATGAAGAGGGAGAGAAAGAGAGTGTCTTTATTTAAATACTTCTTTCTCCAGGAGCTGCACTTAACACTGCCCAGAGCTTCATGTGGCTCACAAGATGTGGTTTGGCCAACCTCATCTATTATCTGGCAGCATTGCTCTGCAGAGTGCTATGAAAGTTTCATATTACCCTCTGGTGATTTGATATTCTGTTGGTATCTACTTAGTTCTGCCAGAAATGTCTGATTTCCTTGTCAGTATCTAAATTTCAAAGCCATAGTACAGGGAAAGCCTTCATGATAAGTAAAGGGTTTTCATTTTTGTTGTTTTTTTCCCCTGGGGTGAGGATAGAGAAATCTGCATTAAGAACATAAAGAAGGGTTAATGTATGGTACAAGAGTAAAGATCCATTTGAAAGTAATTTACTTTTTTATTATTAATCCACCACATAGCTAACAATCAGACCTTTCCTCTTAAACCTTTTATTATCAATGCGACTGTCAGTCTTTATAAAGGGTAAGAGACAAATGACAGTTTTGTTCTCATGCAAAAGCTGCTTTGGAAATCTGTTTTTGTTCCTGAAAATGCATGTCATCCACCAAAGCTTAAAATGGCTTGGTACCAATTTGTATTTAAAATTAGAGGGTGAGTTGATTAAGAAAGCATCACCCAAGTTTAGTCTGTCACCTTTTATAATTTAATGTATAGTTTGCATTTTAAATTATTGGCAGTTTGGCAGTGCTGCTGGAAACAAAGGGAAGAACTTATAAAACATTTAAGTTAGAGTGATTTAAATAAGAGAAATTTCAAAGGAAAAAAAGCCCCAAGATTTTTTTTTTTTTTAAATAATAAAGCTCTGGCTATGATTAGTTGGGAATAAACGCTTGTAGTCAGAAACCCAGCCCCAGAAGCTTCTCTGCAGGGCCACTGTGATGACAGTAGGGGAAGAAGGGTGCCTCTGCATGGAGTTTCAGAAGGGCTTGGGAGGCTGCAGTCTGTGGCAAGCACACGGATAGAGTCAACGGATTCTGTTGGAGTTCATATCCTGACTTTTCTTTCCATCTGTTACTCTCTTCATCAACTCCTCTATGGAGTTGGAGTTATTCTTCTCTGCCCGGCCAGTGGGAATGGAGGCTGCATTTCCTTTCCTTTGTTTAATACCTGTGCATCCCTTAACCCTAGCACCCTGTTCACAGGCATTCATCAGACAGGGAGACAGGCTGAGTCCCAGAATTTTTTATTTTATACACGTATACAGCAAAGCACCCAAAGAGGCTTAGGTGCACAGACTGACATGTATGTAGTACAGGCAGCTAATTTATGAGTGCTGACCTTTCCACTGGAGAAGTGTGAGCAGCTGGTGGCAGTCAGGGAGTTGAAGGAACATATAAAGCTAACATAGGCCCTTATCATGTACAGCACATGCAAAGAAACACTGATTACATAAGTTAGTGTGTGTGCGTGTTAGTCTCCCTGCCCTATTCTTCTCAAGAGCATATCTCTTAAGAGTCTGTTCTGTTCACTGAAACTCCCAGACAAGAGATGCTAACAGTTTCTTCTGACTGTTTCAGCTTGAATGTAATGATGTGGTTCTCTTCTGGCGCATACAGCGAATGCTGGCAATTACAGCAAATACACTGAGGCAACAGCTTACCAACACAGAAGGTAAGCATTTCGGTGTCTACCTTGTCTGAATATAATGCTAATGTTAAAACATTTCTAATGCTATCACATCAGGATGTTGCTCTCAACTTCATTATGGCCCATTGCCTTTTTTAATTTTTTGGTGTTAAACGGTTGTCAGATTTTGAAATGGGTTTAAAATAGCATGGCAAAGACTCCAAACCATGGGAATGCCCTCCTACAAATTATCTTCAGATGCTGACTTGCCATGCAGAGCTAGATAGTGAAATCTGTTGTAAGCAGAGAGAACTTCATAAAACAGTTGCTATCTTTCTTCTTTTTCAGTCTGATCTTTTGCCATAGGTTTAATAAAATCTGTACGTTTAATTCTAAAATATCAATCTAAAATAAACTTTTAATGCATAAAAACATTTCAGGCGTTATGTTCTAAGACCCATATCTTCCTAAGACGAACACATTTATACATTAATCAATTAGCACCATGGTGACTACTAATAATGAACTCCCAGCTGTGAACCAGAGACTCTTTCAAGCCAACCTCTTAGGAAAAGATTGAGTAAACAGGGAAACCTTGCCACTTGCCCTGTAAGTCAACAAACCCTCCACAGCAAAGCCTCTGTCCCTAAATATACAAAGCAAGGGACTGTCATCTTGAGTAGCCAGCTGATTGATCTCCCCTGCTGGCATGGATCACCAAGAGCCTTGTCTCTAACAAACACAGGGCCCAAACTATCAAGGGCTTTACAGATGAAATCAACACCTCAGATTCCTCCAGGGAGGCAGTTCGGATCCTGTGGAACACAAGGGCATTGTGTTCATTGTTTGACCATCCAAAAGGAGTAGTCCTAATCTCTTTAGCAAGCAAAGGTGGACAAAAGTGCTCTTGGCTCAAACTTAAGAAGTGCCATACTGGGGCCACAGCTGTTATCTGGGCATCCTAAAACAACTCGAGATCCAATAACCCCATGCAGATTTGTTCAAAAGAAGTTCCCTCAGTCTAAGGATCTAAAGTTCTCTGCACCTTGATGTCCCTTTGTTTTCTGAAGAATGAGCTTTACCTGATTATTTCGCATCTAGGCCAGGTACTGGGAAAGTTGAAATGTTTTAATAACAAGTTTCAAAAACCCCACACCAAGTATGATGGCACTAACTTTCTAGTAGTACTTTGCATCAGTGGATTTACAATCAGTGCTTTACAAACACAGTCAGTATCGTCATCCCCATTTTACAGATGGGCACACCGAAGCACAACACAAGTGACTTGTCCAAGGTTGGTCAGTAAGCCAGTAGAAGAGCCAGGAATCAAACCCATGTTTCCTGCATGCCAGTTGAGTGGTCTCTCCACTAGGAAGTATAAGTAGTAAAGCATGGGGTGTTATCAGTATGATGACACTGCAGCTTCAACAGACTCCCCAGTGGCCTCCTGTCCTCCTTATCATACTATCCAAAATCATACAGATGTGTAACTGCCCACCTTAGCTTGTGCATCCTGTGAGTCATCTCAGCAGAAGAGCTTCAGCTCTTGAACTAAAAAGTGTTGTGATAATACTTGGAAAGCCAGGCTCAGGCTTTGTCATACTTCTCCTGGTATGTTGGTCCTGAGAGAGTCTTTTCTGTCATGACATGTGTTAGTGCTCATCTCTGTTTTCCCTCCCTCTTTCCTTTGAGCTTTTAAATCATTGATTAAGTGTGATCACAACCGCCCTTTCCCACAAAATCAGAGGCCCCCCACAAAAATCTGGATTTTTCTTCCAAAAAAATTTGCAGAGAGAGGTCATTCTTTTGATGCATTAATTCCTCCCTCTTGAAGAATTCACCACTATTTAAATCACACTTTTACAGTCAGGCGTTTGGAGAAGAATGTAAAGGAAGTGCTGGAAGACTTTGCTGAGGACAACGAGAAGAAGGTTAAGTTACTAACTGGCAAAAGGGTCCAGCTGGCAGAGGATCTCAGTGAGTAACTGTTTTACTTCAGAAATAACTCAGAAGAAAGCAGATCAGTGGTACTGACCTTGTTTACCGTGAACCAAAAATAAGGTTGAGTTTGTAGTGATAAATGTTTTCTCCACGCACTGGCATTTTGTGTGCATTTTTCATGGAAGATTTTTAAACATTAGGAAAACCTTTACTTACTGCAGTATGGCGGCGATGCTTTGTCTCACATGAAACTGTGACAGTTGTTTACTGACAGTGCTGTTAAAACAGATTTGTTGTTAATGCCCTTTTGCATGGGGCAGCTCTGGATCTGCTACGGAGTAGTGACAAGATGGTTCAATGCTGCTCCCTTTTAAGCCAGCATCTTTCTGCTGAGTTTGTAAACTTAGATACTGTGTAAGTGCATTTTGGGGACAATTGTAAAAAGTTTATGATCTCCTACTATTTCATGAGTGATGCACTGGCAGAGCCCTGGTACCTCCACCAAGCAGTCGGCCTACGTACAAATCCAAACCCCTGGAAGGGAGGGAAAAAGTACTGGGGAAAAAATAGTCTGTCATCCTGGAATTAACACGGACCCAAAGGGAACCAAATTAAGGTCTAAGACAACCTTCTTACTAACATGTCCTAACTTCAGATACTTGACTTCTCAATTAATTTTCTTTTGACATAACTTCAGGGTTTATATTTTGGATACTGAGCATAACCTAGTCTGTTGGCATGCTCTCCCTCCAACTTAGCGAAGCATATTCTAAGGTGCAGCATAAGAGAGCATTAAGCATATAATTACTGCAATATTTTCCTATTTGTGGGTTGTTATTCTACACCTGCTAAAGTTACAATCTCTTGCATATGGATAACACCACATAAGAACAAATATGTCATAAGCTGAAGGCTAAAGTTGTACTCTTGGTCCAGCAGTTTATATGATTGCATTGAGAGTATTATCTTTAAATTTAGATAATTTAGGTATTCATTTTTCTTTGAAATGGGAGTGCCATGATATTTTTGAGTTCTACAGAATAAGAATTTTTGGTGGGACCTTTCTGATCTGTCTCCTGATCTCAGCACCTATGAGAAACATCACTGGTCCTGGCAGTACGCTCTGCTTGTTAGCACATGGCAGTTAATATCAGGTGATCTGTACTGCTTCAGCAGTTCTGTGTCAGTCCGTCTACACTGCTATTTTTATCTCTCAGGTTGTGGAGTCTGTATCATCAAGATGCGTGAGGGGAATTCAACAGCAATTCTGTGTTTAAACTCAAGTGCAGAATATCAATATTTAATGAAAGTATTAGCTCCCTCCTTAGGAATGAATCCTGTTTTGTTTATTAAATGTCACCTTTTTAATATTTCATCTTCTTGTTTTGCCATTGTGTTATGTTTTGAGCAAAAGCTTGCGACAGTAATGTGATTCTTTGTTCACTTTGATTTGTCCTTGATTCTTCAGTGCTATAGCATTGCTAGTAATTTTCAGAAAAATATACAGTATTTATGCAAATCTAATATACTTAGAAGTAAAATCAAGGAGTTATGGAAGCTAAGAGTCCAGTAAACAAGACAGCCATGGTTTCCAGTTGGGTTAATTTCTGGTTTATTTTTCTGGTTTCCAGTTGGGTTACTTTAGGGGATAATGTCCGTTAATACACTAAAGCAAGGGTCGGCAACATTATTGAGCCAAGTGCCAAAAACCCTGCAACCTGGACTTCAAAGATGTTGGCGTGCCAGGGGTAGACAGTGGGGCAGCTGCAAGGTACCCAGTCCTTGTCATGGCACAGCTCCAGCCCCTTCCCTGCTGTGCTCCCCAATGTACGTGTGCAGCTGCAGCCAGCAACGAGCCAGGCTGGGACTCTGGACCCCAGCGCAGCCACTTATAACCTTGCAGCTGTCTGCTGCAAGCAGCCTGGGCTATGTCTGGATTGCCACTTCCGTGTAGGGGGAGAGGGAGCTGCTCCAGGGTCCCGCTGTCCCTCTGGAGGCCTTCTTCAGGCAGCAGCTGCAGCAGCCTTCCAGTGCCCCCCATCTCCTGATCACAAGGCATCGGGTAAGAATCGGTTGAGCGCACACAAAACAAATGGCATGGGGGAGGAAGGGGGGCAAGTTTGCAGCCACTTCCCCCCACAGAGTAAAGATTTACAAACCAGAGCCATCATTTAAATGAATGTACCAACCCCCCCAGCCCCAAATGCATTGGGGCAACACATTGGGAGAGGAGGTAAAGACACAGGAGAGTCACTGCTGACTGCCAGGCATGGGCACTGCAAGGCAGAGAACACAGAGCAGCCCCCTCTCACCAACCGAGGGAAGCCCATGCAGTGAGCATATAACCCACACTGCAAAGAAAGAGTGGGGGAGCAGGGCTAAGCTGCACAAATAGCCTGGGCTGCTCACAGCAGGCAGCTGCCAGCAGCTGCACCAGGGTCTGGAGCCCCGGCCCAGTTCGTCACTGGCAGCAGCTTCACGTGTGCCTCGGGGAGCGTGGTGGGGGAAGAGGCCATGGCTGCCCTGCCTCCAGCCCCTTCCCCGCCATGCGCCTTGTGGTGCACATGCATACACTGCTGCCACACAGCCCGGGCTGCTTATACTTGGCAGCAGGCAAACCGCAAACAGCTGCACGAGGGTCCGGAGCCCTGGCCCGGCTCTGTGGCACCAGCAGCTGCACGTGCATTTTGGGGAACATGGAGGGTAAGGCACTGGTGTTGCATTGCCCTAGGCCCCTTCCCCACCATGTGCCCTGAAGTACCATGCAGCTACTGTCACGGAGCTGGGCTGGGGTGCCGGACCCTGGTTCGCTGGTTGCAACCTCCCAGCTGCCTGTCATTCCCAGCCCAGGCCTACCACAGAGTCCAAGCTGCTCACAGCAGGGCTTGCAGCCTCCCCGTTACCTGCTGCAATTAGCCTGGGCTCCATGGCTAGTGGCAGCCACCCAGAGCCCAGGCCAAATGGGGCACGCCAAGCAAAATCTGGCATGCGTGCTGGGTGTTGCCAACACCTGCACTAAACTTTCTGGCCATAAGATAATAAAGACTCAGACTTCTGAAGAGAGAAGACTAACTTATTGACCATAGCAGTTTTTGTATTCTTAACTGAGTAAAGAAATATGAGTATATCCTCATAAGTGTGGAATATATTCAGCATGTTAAAACATAGGTCGTTCCATACCACTACTGCAGGATGTTTCTTGATGGTGGCAGGGAGGGGGTCATAGATCTTGTGCACAATTTTTTATAAAATCTTCACCCAATGTAACGCTTCCATTTAGGGTGATGTATGCTGACATGTTCTGCTTTATTGTACCTTTGGGAAGATTTGAAAGCCATCAGCTCTTGGCTGTGCAGTCAACTCAGAAACATTTTCCTTACTCTCTCTTGTGCATGATTGGACTGCTAAGTGATGCACATTTTATGGGCGAATGACAGAGAAAGAAAAGGGTTTTCTCGGCTTTGCCTTAGTGAGCGGAGTGTTTTTTGTTATACTTTTTATAACCTGGGACAGACCCTTCATGATAGCAGAGAACATGGAAGACACAAGGAGATCTGTAATTTCCTCCTGACAGCATGCAGTGGCCACCAGAACGCCACTGCTTCAGGAAAGAAAAGCATTCCTTTTGCAACACACTGTCATTAAACGTTTGTATTTTAATTAAACAGACAAGGCTCTTTGGGTAAATCCGATCTCTTTTATGAGGCCAAATCAAATAGTTGGAAAAATTCTTCTTAGCAGGCTTTAATTTAAATTTTAATTAAAATGTATTTTAATTAGGAATTTAGGATACAGGAATGAAAGAGATCTTCCTGCCTCAAGTCCAGTCTCTCTCTTTTGCAGGCAACCATGTTACATAATCCTGCTTTTAAATTTAACAAGCTCCATATTAAAATTAGCCAGGTTGTTTGGCTCCGGCTGCCCACATTGGGAGGCTGCTCCAGAGTCTGACTTCTTTGATGGTTAGAAACTGTCTTCTAATTTTCATCTTCAATTTATCAAGGGCCAGCTGAGATTTAGCTTCCTAATTTGAAACTGTACTTGTAAAGGAAGCCTAGACTACTTAAATACCCTCAGCATGTCAGGGCTTGTCTCCTGGTCCTGATAACAAAAGTCAGGCAGGGTTGCTACGCTACATCAGACATCCAGCACTGGAGCATTGAAAGTGTTTTATTGTGTGTTTACTTGGCGATACCAGTTGATACCAGACTGAATTTTCTAACTTGGGTGGCACGGCGTTGCAATGAGACCTTGGTAATTCACAAGACTCATTTGAAGCATATTTTACTATATAGATTCTAAATCCTGAAATAGTATTTTAACCTTAACATGTGTTTTTGTTAATATCAGTCAGGGGCTAAACCTTACATTTTTATAGTAGAAAGAGGTATAGTGTTCTTTATAGTGCTGCTTTCCACCTGTTATTGTGGGCTTTCCAAAGCCTGTCCATAAACTGCCTCCTAGAACAATTTTAGTACAAGTTGTATAATATACAGCCTCATACTGTAATCAAGATCTTTTTAGAAAGAAAACATGCACATAGTATGCATTTTTCTTAAATCGGTTTATTCCAAAATAGGCTTATTCTGTAGAATTTAAAATGGATAGTTTCAGATTAAGAACAATAACTATTTCCTGCTACAAGAAACAACTGGATGAAATTTAGCAATACAGAAAGGGAAGGACAGGGAGACATAATTCGCTGGGGAGAAAATGATTAAATATTTTTAAAAATATTTTAAAGGTGCCTTGTTACAAATTGATACAGGAGTTTAACTTGTCTGTCCCTTGGCAAATGAAATAACGCCAGAGCTGTTACCAGACTCTCTCAAAATTAGTGTGCCAGTACTGTTTTGGATAAGGTCATGGTTTTGCCAGGAAGTTGCATGGGTCGGCAAGGTCCTCTTACCTTTCTTGGTGGACTGTTAGGATGCATCTAGCTTTCACCCTCAGCAGTCAGCGATGACTTGTTGCCGACTCGGTTGCCCATGAGCTCCTTTGAAACATGAGTATAATTTGTAGGGTAGCTGGGAGCT